TCAATAAATTCCAAACCGATAAAAATCGATTGTGATATTTGATTGAATAAAGGGACGATTGTGTTTACATAGAGTCAATCCCTAGCCTAGACCTCCGCCCCGCGCACGTTGCTCATACCACCATTTGGTTCCTAAAAACGTTTGTGCGCAGCCTTCTGCGCGAAGTTCGGACTCGCCAAGTTACGTCGGTCGTATTGTATATATTATATGAACTAAATGGAATATTAAATTTATATTAAGCAATCATAGTATTCACTTAGTAAACACTTGTGTCACACACCTACATTTATTTATTTGTTAATCTATTTATATATATACAAATGAAATGCTGTTCGTTAATCTCGCTAAAACTCGAGAACGGCTGGACCGATTTGGCTAATTTTGGTCTTGAATTATTTGTGGAAGTCCAGAGAAGTTTTCAAAGGAAGATAAATATGAAAATGCTCGGAATTAAATAAAAATAACAATTTTATTTTTCCTTTGATGTGTCCCCCGTCGGATGGATTTCTTTTGTTTGTTTTAAGTTTATTTAATACAAAAGCTTAGGTCTTTTAATTATCGATTGAGGCAATACGAAGTCTACTGGGTCAGCTAGTTTCTCATATTTCTTTAGTTTTGCTATTGTGAAAAGGAATGCTGATGGAAAGTAAAATTTTATAAATTGTTTTTAGAATAATAATTATAAATAATGTGTTTTCAGGTCTAGAACCATTGCTGATAGAGTTTGGCGTGGACGTGGTCATATGGGCTCATGAGCACTCTTACGAGAGATCCTGGCCCTTGTACGATAATGTTGTGTACAACGGCACCGAGGGACCTTACATCAATCCTGGGTAAGTCACTTGGATCTCCATGTTTGCTTCAGGAATGTGCTTAGAATTTCATGGGGTGATGATTTGCTTACTGTACCTTAAAATAATTGACACAAACATATCGACACTTGAAAGGCAAACGTGACTAAGCGACAATGCGTGAACTTTACAGAAGACTAATTTAAAGTTGAAATACCTGAAAAAAAATCTATATTAACGAATTTACCTGTAGGATTGAAATGATTTTAATAGACCTAGAATATTTTTTTTGTGAATCGAATATATGGTTATTGCCTATCATTAATGTATAAAGCAGTTATTGTCGCTTAGTCACGTTTGCCTTTCAAGCGTCGATATGTATAGTAAGTTTGTGGTTTGTCAATGCTTGTACTTGATGTATTATAAGATCTATGAGGACATCTGTGGTTTTTTTTAACTTGTTTTGTGTTTATGTTTGTGATGATTAAAAATAGCATTTAATTAAAGCATGGGATATTATGACTTGCTTTCATGTAAATATCATATCGGGCTTTTGTGTGTTTGTTTTGTATTAAAGCATTGTGCCATGGACAGCCATGGGTGCAGTTCTAATTCTTTTTTTGTCTCTTTTTCGAATCTAGAACCCTCTTATCATTCAGCCTCTGCTTTCCACACAGTTCTTCACTGGAATTTTAAAATTGAAAAGTTCAGATTTATAAAGCAATTTTTATGACACACATTTTACTTAACATAAATTATTAATCATGCATATTATTATGGTATACTAGATGATTCTAGATTCAATTTATTCAAAAAATATCCCAAAAATGTTCACGTATACATTTTAAAAGTTCCGCGTTCAGTATTAGGGTTGTGTTTATTTTATAATTAAATGGTGATTATAACATTTTTATTTTAATAAAGTGAAAATAAGTTGAATAAGTTTCAAAGACCTCTATTTATTTGATCGGGATAAAATTTGGTGTATCTAAGTATGCTTTTTTTTACAATTATCAGTAAGATGTAATAAGAAAAAAATGTATTTTAAGTTATTCGATTATCCAATATATGGTTGAAACTCAAATTGGACATACAATATTGTTTGAAACCTTTGTACATAACTCTTTGGTTGGGTCGTTAATCCCGGAAACTATGCTTTGTGTGATACTAAAATATACTGGATATAAATAATAATATACTGGATGAATATTAATTTAAAAGTTAAGTATGTACTGCTTGTCTTAAATAATAACATTAATTGATTTTTTATAAAATAGGTACCTTATATACACACTTAAATTGAAAATAAAACCTCAGTTGAGCGACGTTTCAAATGTAAATTTCAAAAACATTTTTGTTTTTTTAGGGCCCCGGTGCACATAGTCACAGGATCTGCCGGCTGCCAGGAGTCCACGGATCCCTTCAACTGTGAGTGATTATTATTTATTAACAGGATGCACCCATGGCTCAATGATAACACGCGCTACCCTCATGCGAGATTTCATTCAGTTGACATTGGACCCTGGAGTACCTACTTATTATAGGTTTTAAAGGACACCCTTGCTTGCACAGACGGGTGTAGGTGTTTTGACTCATCTTGACCCATGAAGTCAAATTCTCAGTTTTATAGTGCAACGGCCGCCCCACCCTTCAAACTGGAGCACACACCCTTCACGGCAGAAAATAGTCCACTTCGACGCTTGAAAGCCAAACGTGACTAAGCGACAATGCGTGAACTTTACAGTAGACTGAAAGTTGAAATACTTGAAAAAAATTATATTTTAACGAATCTAGCTGTAGGATTGAAATGATTTTAATATACCTAGAAATATATTTTTTTTTGCGCATCGAATATGGTTATTGCCTATCATTTATTTACAAAGCAGTTATTGTCGCTTAGTCACGTTTGCGTTTCAAGCGTCGACTTAAATGGTCATAGCAGGCGTTGATCCGTTGCGGAATTTGATAGAACAATAACATGAATACAGTGCACCTAGAAGGGTGAGGTCCACCCGTCTAAACAATAAAAAACAATACATACATATTTTAGTTTCGTATTATAAATACTAAAATTTATATGTGTCCGTGTGTACCCCAGACCCCGCCGCCGCGTGGTCCGCCTTCAGGTCCACTGACTACGGCTACACGAGATTCAAGGCGTACAACCAAACACACATTTACTTTGAACAGGTACGACCAATGTTTTTAGTACATTGTATTGTAAACTAATAGGTCGCTTTAACACATTGACTACGGGACTTTCAGCCAGTGGGTACGGGGCTTTTCGAAGCATGATTGGATTTCTTTATAGTGCGTATGAGATCTGACAGATCTCTTTGAATATAGGTACCCATACCTATAGAACTGTAGACATAGTCGCCTCTCGCGTCGAGCGAAAGGGCGCGGTTTTGACTGCCGTCCCAGGGGAGTGTCGCGCGTGGAGCTTTTTAAACCGCAAAACGCAGTGAACGTGTTAATAATATATTTTAAGATAACTTTAACAAAGGCCACTTAAAGAAAAAACCATGGACCCAGTTCTTTTATGTTACAAATTAAGGTCTTCCACCGCTTTTTTTGGTACTTCGTAGATCGTAGCATATGTATGTGAAAGAGAGGGAGGTAACGTAAAAAGAGATGAGATAAAGAGATCATAAATAAATAAACATAAAACAGTACAGTGTCATTGTTTCCTCTGTTTGACAAGTGATTTCTTTTATTCCTTTAATAAGTCGGGACGGGATTTGGTATCACTACATAGTATAAAACAAAGTCGCTTTCTCTGTCCCTGTATGCATAAATCTTTAAAACTATACAACGGATTTTGATGCGGTTTTTTTTAATAGATAGGGTGATTGAAGAGGAAGGTTTATATGTATAATAACATCCATTAAATAGTGGAGAAATATTGTTATCAATAATAAATTACAGTTTCCGAAGCGAAGCGAGGGCGGGTCGCTAGTTACCAATATAAGTCTCGAAACGTCTGCGCTGCTCTTGCTTGTCCGTTATAATACGCTTCATTTAAGAGACAAATTGTAATTAAAACACGTCCCCTACGCGGCCGGGTCACAGAGAGTGTCACTAACCGACATTCCAAACATAGTCGCGTAGTCTGTGGGTCCAATATGACTTTTTGGCGAGAACGGAAGGGACGAAGCTGGGTGAATTGATGTTAATTTAGTGTTCCTTCAGATGTAAATGTGTAATAATGGTGTTTTACCCACTGTTTAACGTCTCTGAAATTTTACAAGTGTAGAGAGAAAGGAAACAAAGGCACAGGACGTAGCTTCTCGGAGATTATATTTCATCGCATCTCGTTTCATTCGATTTTTTCACAATCCATTAAAGCAGAGTTCCCCAAACTTTTTTGTGTCGTAGACCCCTTGCCATGTTTTTCCGTGTTGGGTAGACTTACCTGATATTGATTTCCTGTAAATTTCTAACTGTAGTAAAGTTTAGTGTTAAAAACTTAAAGTAAAAACACATGTTAATTTATACATTTATTAATTGAATTTAAATTAAAACTACTAAAAATACAATTTTGTATCTGTTATGTAAAATAAACGTAACATAAAATAAACTATAAATAAAATAACATAAGCAATAAGTCAATATTTTTAGTGAGAAGGATGAACCTGATGCTTTAATAATAAATTATCCAACATTTGGCGTCAATTTTGTAAGGGTTAATCTTAAATCTCCTCGGCTAATGATGTCTTGATATCATATGATAGTATGATGTAAGTAAATAGGTACTATCAGTGTATGTGTTGAGATCCACTATCGTGAACCCCCAAATTTTTTTTTGCTGACGTATACCCCTTGCAGGTTGTCATAGACCCCTAGTGGTCGATATAGACCACTTTAGGAATCACTGCATTAAAGTCTCAAACTAGTCAACTTAATCTTATTTCGCTTCATATAATTTTTCATATTATAACAGACATAAGAGAATGTAAGAATTGGCTTAAAGGTCTCATTACCAGGTCAAAAAATCTTTTTTAAAAAAACTGTCCAATAACCTGGTCATTACCGGGTAGCGAGCTGCAAGTTATGACACTGTACAGTTTGAATGAATTCACCTATGATTATTAAGTAACCGATATTCGTAAATGTGATGTACCCCTAATTTACTGTTTTCAGGTGAGCGTCGATCGAAAAGGGAAAGTCATTGATTCTCTGTGGATCGAGAAACACAAGCACGAAGCCTACAATCTTTGATAGCGTTGCGGCTTAATAATAATAATAGTAATAGCACATTAATATAATAATCAAACCGTTAACGTGATACAAATGGTCAATAAGAGAATCATCAAAGTCATCAGAATTTGAACCCAAGACATGTTTAGTTTGCAGACATTTTGAAGGTGACGAAGATTACATTGAAATATTTCGACAACATCATGAAAGCGCGTTATAATATAAGATAATTCATCGAATAATGTTAAGAATCTTTGAAACAAAAAGTGTACTCAATCTTTTTTACAAGAATAACCCTTATATTGTTAAAGTTAATGTGCAATATTGCGTGGTGACGGATATGGATGTCATCTGGGTAAGGCGGGTGGAATGTGCGCGTTGTGATGTCCGCGGACTCGGGTAACCACTTACCAACGGTTGAGCCGTGAGCTCGTTCAACCCTCTATGTAATAAAAATCAATCATAATTTTCTTGCGATTAAATAATATTTTTATTTTTTTACAAGATAGTTAAGATGCTGGTGAAGTACCCGTCAATAATGTAACTCGGGTATTTGAATAAAGCAGGTTTGAGCCCCGTGAGCTCACCTACTAGTTATGGCGACGCAGATATAGCCTCTCAAGGCTCTCAGCTTAGGTAGGAAAAAAATTATGAATAAAGCACCAGCAAAATATTACTTCTGTTAGAGCAGATAAGTCCCTCAGGCCCTATGAGCTGCCCTACAACTTCGGTGTAGGGCAGCTCATAACCCTTCGAGGTTAGAAGCTGTGGGTAGGCAAAAAAAACCGAGATAATTTCAAGGAATATCTCGTACATTATTTAGCATCACACTACTTTGGAGGACGCGGCGGGTGTGCGTATGTGAAAAGGCATTTAGTTTGATCTTGTCGTTTTAAGTTTTCGTACAAAAATATATTTTGACTAAATACAATAAATATTAATAAAATTTATAAATATATGTCGCAGTTTTATTTTTTCCCAGACATTCGTAGTATTGTACTGGCGTGAACTCAAAAAATGAAGCTAAATTTTTTGAGTTGTCGGTTGGTGAGTATCTCTATCTTGACACATTGAACTTTCAATTGCATATATTTCGCTCTTGAAACCAAAACACACGAGGTGGCTAGGAAAAAATAAGCTTAGTGTGAATGTTTGTCATTAAATATTTCCGTGACTACTTATTTTTTGTATTGATTTAATTATGCGGGTATTCAACTTTAGACTTCTTAATCTACTGCTAATTCATCATTATCGGCCCTCCTTCCCTCATTGAGGATGGGTGGTAGGGTGTTTTGGAACCCCCACAAGCATATATCCAGTATGAAGAATACAACAGCTCTAGAAACGGGACTTTACCTCATGTTTGTCCGCACGTGACGGTCGTGACCGCATTCCTCTTATCGTTTCTTCAAATTCTGGAAATCCTTTTGAGGTCTGAGTTAGATATAGAAAATTCAAAAATCTATTTCCAGCACGGTCAATGTGGCTCATATAATTGGCTTTTTGCCTCCCTATCTGCTAGTAGCCTCAAGGGGCTATTCTATTCACATTGACTGGTGACAGCTCAGCCTAAATTGGCTGACACTAACCCTGGCAAGATAGTGCTTCGCCAAATCTAACTCCGGAACGAAATCGCAAAATTATTGACAATTAGCTCTCCGCCTGTATGTGTTAGACTTCTTATCGCGTGAGATTCGACTGGTGCCCAGCTCAATAGACTGACAGCTATAGTAGAATTATTTTGTCCGTGCAGTTTGGGTCATAAAACATAGCCCGGCTAGGGCCGTGAGCATGGTTCGCGGGCGCAACGACGTTATCGATAAAAACAAATGAGTCATCGAAGGCAGGAAATTATAGTACATATTATTATGTCGAAGAGAAACGTGATTTTGTGCATTTGTTATCTGAATTTCTTTATTGACACAATGGTTACTCCTTTGTTTTGTACCAAAACGCTAGAATTTATTCAAATATTTTGCTTGTTGGCAAAAATATACCAGCACAACACTTGTTATTATCAACAATGTGTTAAAAATTTTCACTGAAATGAGAATAGAACTGCACGGACAAAATAATTTTACTATAATATAATTCTTCCCCAAACTTCAACGGTTTCCATACTGAACTGGAATTCGTCAAAATAGTTTCAATTGGCTTGGGGGCGTTCAAACGTCACAGAGATACTTTCCAATGTGTAACTTAAGAATGAATTATTTACAGAGCTCCTGTACATATAATAACCGGGTCGGCTGGTTGCCAAGAGGGACGAGACCATTTCAGACGTAAGTGATGTTGTTCAATTTGAAATAAATCATTGGGTTCTGGGATTCGCATCAAGTTTGCTAGAATGCACGGTTCTGTCTATCCCTGGTGTAGATGATCGTCGTTCCCGGTTTGAAATTCCACCCTCCCATTGTGGCGGCACCCTTGTTCTGCTTGCTTCGGATATTTCTTAACAAGCTTGTTGCCTACTTGTATACCCCAGTCAGTCTGCAGTATTCATTAGTACTATGCTAGTTGCTCACAATCTGATGCCAATTCAATATGAAGTCGTCGTGGCCTAAAGGGTAAGATGTCCGGTGCATTCGTATGTAGCGATGCAACGGTGTTCGAATCCCGCAGGCGAGTATCAATTTTTCTAATAAAATACGTACTCAACAAATGTTCACGATTTACTTCCACGGTGAAGGAATAGCATCGTGTAATCAAAATCAAACCTGCAAAATTATAATTTGCGTAATTACTGGTGGCAGGACCTCTTGTGAGTCCGCGCGGGTAGGTACCAAAGCCCTGCCTATTTCTGCCGTGAAGCAGTAATACGTTTCTTGAAGGATGGGGCAGCCATTGTACTGTTAAAACTAAGACCTTAGATCTCATATATCAAGGTGGGTGGCGGCATTTGCATTATAGATGTCTATGGGCTCCGGTAACTTAACATCAGGAGTCACAAGTCACACAAGCACAAGGAAATCATAATCTGATGCCATTCAATATGATATTTCCAAATATCCAGCTAAATAAGCAACTTGGTACCTAATTTGAGAATCTTCCGCAGGCTTTTCTCTATTTACCCCAGAATCCCTATTTACCCCACTTTACGGTACCTACTAAAACATTTGACAATAATTCGCAGATAATCCTTTCAAGTGGTCAGCGTTTCACTCGCAGGACTTCGGATATACGAAGTTATATGTCTACAACAAAACGCACATTAACTTCGAACAGGTGAATAAACATTCAATAATAGTTTTCAGGCAAGCACACAAACGTATGAAAACATTTAAAAAAAAAATCATTTTTACGAAACCTCCTTTTTTATTTTTTAAGTGGGTGGACGAGCTCGCGGCCTGTCTGGTGTTAAGTGGTTACCGGAGCCCATAGACACGACTAAAATACCGCCACCCACCTTGAGATATGAGTTACTGATTACATGAGTATTGGATGAATACCGTCATTATTTTTAAACCTTTTTTTTTGGTCGTAACATTTATTAGGTACCTATAGTATAATTGCAGTCTGAAATATTTTAAGTTAGCGCGTACAAATCTCACAGATAATTACCTCAACAACAAGACTTTCAGGATGAAGAAAGAGCTTCGTAATATTATTATTGATTAGTATAGTTATTATTGAAGGTAACGCATGTGAGGCATGTGTAGACACCACTATCCTGCTTATTTCTTCTGCAAAGCTTGTGTTCTCTTCCGAAGCGTTGTCCTTTTTATACAATGCAATTGAGGTTTCGATCTCACATTTCATAGTGAGTGATGGCATGCAGTTTGTGATGTCTATGGAGCTATGTTTGTTTATCACTGGTGGTAGGACATCTTGTGAGTCCGCGCGGGTGGGTACCACCATCCTGCCTATTTCGGCCGTGAAGCAGTAATGAGTTTCGACTTTAAGGGTGCGGCAGCCGTTGTAACTATACTGAGACCTTAGAACTTATATCTCAAGGTGGGTGGCGCATTTGCGTTGTGGATGTCTATGGGCTCCAGTAACCACTTAACACCAGGTGGGCTCTGAGCTCGTACACTCATTTGGGTAGCAAATGTTCTAAATTATATATGTCCTTGTGCCTTTAATGAGCGAAGTATTATGAAAGCATCGACATATGAAAGGCTATTTGGTTTAAGCGACATTTTTGCAACTTTACAGGAGAGCCATATAAAGTTTAAAATTTGGAAAAAAAATCACAATGAAAACACAACAAAAACGTTCTTCAGCTATTTCAATGGGGTAAACTTAATTGAAGTTCAATTAAAAATATCGAACTGCCCCTGCCTATTTCTGCCGTGAAGCAGTAATGCGTTTCGGTTTGAAGGGTGGGGCAGCTGTTGTAACTATACTTAAGACCTTAGAACTTATATCTCAAGGTGGGTGCCGCACTTACGTTGTGGATGTCTATGGGCTTCAGTAACCACTTAACAGCAAGTAGGCTGTGAGCTCGTCCACCCATCTAAGCAATAAAAAAAAAGATGAATGTCGCGTGTTAAGCGAAATGTCGCTTAAACCAAATAGCCTTTACCCCTCGTTATTTAAACCACCAGCGACCTCCAAACTTTAGATTATCCAATGGTTTTATTAGTTATTAATAATGTTATTATAATAAAATAATAATAGCACGTATTTATTACTCACTCAATAGGTACTAAATACTAGTTATTATTAAAGTGATGGTGACATTTAATGTTTACTTTTTTTTTTCAGATCTCCGTTGATCTCGAAGGACAAACCATAGACGACTTTTGGTTGATCAAACATAACAGAACTTCTTTTGCGATACCGAAATAAGAATCTTCAAGATATAATAATAATAACATTATTAGGTATTATATGAAGATTTAAATATGAACGAAAATTATGAAAAAAAAATCGTGTAAAACAAATCTATTCAGTATTTAAATTTAGTTCGAGATGTCACTTTAAAGTAAAACTTAATTTACTTACGATCGTTTTTGCGTGACCCCATAAGGATTGACTGACTGAAAATATAGTACACTAGCGACCCGCCCTCGCTTCGCTTCGGTAACTGTAATTTATTATTGATTTTTCCACTATTTAATGGATGTTATTATACATATAAACCTTCCTCTTCAATCACTCTATCTATTAAAAAAAACCGCATCAAAATCCGTTGCGTAGTTTTAAAGGTTTAAGCATACATAAGGACAGAGAAAGCGACTTTGTTTTATATTATGTAGTGATTATAAGAAGATTTAAATATGAACGAAAATTATGAAAAAAAATATCGTATAAAACAAATCTATTCAGTACCTATTTAAATTTAGTTCGAGATGTCACTTTAAAGTAAAACTTAATTTACTTACGATCGTTTTTGCGTGACCCCATAAGGATTGACTGACTGAAAATATAGTACACTAGCGACCCGCCCTCGCTTCGCTTCGGAAACTGTAATTTATTATTGATTTCTCCACTATTTAATGGATGTTATTATACATATAAACCTGCCTCTTCAATCACTCTATCTATTAAAAAAAACCGCATCAAAATCCGTTGCGTAGTTTTAAAGATTTAAGCATACATAAGGACAGAGAAAGCGACTTTGTTTTTTGTAGTGAAGTGTTAGCATGCGCGCCACCTGGTGGTGAACAGTGACCGTTGTTCATGGATATCAGAAGAGGCAGTAAAGATGCTAACTAGCGCTTGCAATAAGTCAAAAGCGAGATTTCATATAAATAATAGATTAGATTTAAATAGATAGATTTAAACCTAGATGATTACTAAAATTTTATTTTTCATCAATCCGCAATGTAAAACGTACAAAACTTCAGGTTCAAGAATCACATAAACACAGAACTGACTGGAACATTGTTATGAGTGCACTCATAATAGTAACATTTCCGTAAGATTCAGTTATCTGAAGAACAATCGCTAGCCATTTTAATATAGTTATCGTATTAGTCACCAGCATTGAAATTTCTTCGTTTCTGAGAACAGCTTCCAAACACACTGCTGTATTATTCAAGCGCCCCGATAACGCGAATCAGATAAAAGAAATAATTACAATACCTGGACGGCCTACTCGGCGTTCGACTCAAATCCGCTTTTAATACTACGTGCATTCAGCTGGGAGGGTTTTATTTTTATTTTTTTTTATTGCTTAGATGAGTGGACGAGCTCACAGCCCACCTGGTGTTAAGTGGTTACTGAAGCCCATAGACATCTACAACGTAAATGCGCCACCCACCTTGAGACATAAGTTCTAAAGTCTCAGGTATAGCTAAAACGGCTGCCCCACCCTTCAAACCGAAACGCATTACTGCTTCACGGCAGAAATAGGCAGGGTAGTGGTACCTACACGCGCGGACTCTCAAGAGATCCTACCACCAGTAAATCTTGTAGTTTAAATACAAAACACGTGTGGCACTTGGGGATTGCCGCGGCAAAGCGATTGCATAGCATTTTTATCAATTTATGCAATTATAATCAGACAATAATAATTAAATATTAAAACAATAATAAAATAAGACCACGCTATATTTATAAACATTAACAAAAGCAAAACATTAACTGTCCCCTTCACACTCATAAGCTAAGCCGTGCGAGAGAGAGATGGGCAGACTTTTCATGATGTGCATGCGGCAGTGCGACGTCACGCTGCGCGCATATCACAAACACTACACAAGCGCAACGTGTGAATATGTTGAACGCGAGCTACATGGTAAGCGGAGTGGGGGTGTTAGTTTTATTTTACGTTACGGAATTTCTTGATTCGGTCGTCGCGCTCAAAGCCCGCGATAAAAACTGTGATAAAAAATAGCTTAACAATAGGCACTAAACGTAATACTTCACAGAGTTCTAGGTCAAAAGAAATTGACAATGAATCGTGACGTCCGATCGTGTCTCATGCTAAGCGACGACGCGACGTTCGTATGTTAATCAGTGGATTCAGTTGCTTTCTAATCAAGCCGAGGAATTATATGAATTTACACTTCGATTCCATCGACTGAGCTGTCGTAGATAACAATATTAAGTACATGAGGAAATAAGTATTATAAAATTATATTATAGTGACTGACTGTTTCGTTTTTTATTTAAAATCTTTTGGCAACAAGGAAAAACCTCCCATTAAAGAATGTTAACAGTAGGTAGGTACAACTGTTAAATATTCCAAATCAAAAAAACTTGATTTCAAAACAATTTATTTAAAAAATCAGTAGATTATTTTACGAAATACTGTAAACCGAACACACATTGGTGACAATGAACTTAATTTTCGATTTAATCATAATACAAGCGTATTTAATCATTTTGTAGAAAAAAAAAACCAAATTATCTTTTCCCTCGTTTTGCAATTCTGCCCCTATTGCGGTTATGATTATTCCGAAAGCCGTTAAATTGAACTTTCTGTACTTTATTATGTAAAAACTTCGTCTTTCTATGTTTATATTTAACTTCCTGATATATATTTTCCGTATTTTTCTGCAAAATTTCTCTCAGGAAATTAGGTTTTTCATCCTTATGAAATGTTTCTGCAGCCGATTTGAAAAGATCAACTATTCTGGTCACTAATTTAGGATATATATTGACAGAGCAATTTCTGGAGTGATCAAACGGATCTTGTATACATAAGGGAGTGTCCAATCGCAATGGTTTGCATACTTCAGCGGCAACATTATGTTGATATAAGGAAAATTTTGTTAAGAATAAGTCAAAGCTTTTTTTTCTTATCGGAAATCCTAAATATGGACATATTATATTTTCTTCGAAATCAAAAGTTCCGTAGTATGAAAAGAATCCACCAAGCAACTTGTACAAAGATTCATTATTAGTAGTCCTGTGGAGGTAGTTGTTATTAAAATTCGTATTCCAGTAGTCTGTCATTAAACATTCCACATCGCTTTGTAGGTCTTTAACAGATGGTAGCATGCATATTTGCTGAAGATAAAATATGACCAGTAACGTTAGTCCATAATTAGGCATTAGGTTTGTACCTGTAATTTTCTTAATCTTGGACCAATACTTAATTATTACAGCTAGTTTCACAGCCCTAGGATCCAGGTGAAGTAAATAAGCAACTAATTTACTATTATAAATACCGGACAAACTCGTAAAATTGATATCACAGTGGTAACCAGTTGGTATGTGGTAACATTTCAGTACTGGCACTTTTGCTGTGGTTATAGCAAATAATTCAGTGAAAACATGTGGGAATTGTCTCAGTCTGTTGCGTGCCTGTATGACTGTCCTGCTTGATGGTATCTCTCCCTCTGGGAGCTGGGCATAACAGTCGACATCACTGGATATTATTCCAAGCCCAGTTATTATTGATCCAAATGGTTTTACTGAACAACCTGCAATGTACATTAAAATAATCGTATTTTAAATAAGGATCTTTTAGTGGCATCTATTACAATGTTTCCTCTTGATACACACGATAGTAAATTTATCATTTCAACCATTTTATAGGTTTGACTTTGTGTAGTTTCATTTTTATATTGTATTATTTTCCTTTTTTTTAATAGCTTTGATACTAAGTATTAGGCTGTGAATTAGTTTATAGAGTCCTCAAAAACACAATGTGCATATGAATTTTGAAACAAGAATGTGCATGATTACTTTGGTGCAGAAATGAGACATAATGATGGTACCGTTCTCTGCGATCCGATTTGCAATAACCTCTACTACCAGTAAATTACACAATGCTGGTATGATACACAGAGAACACTGTTGTCCAATCTCTGTTAATCATTGTTAGTTGCCTTGAAGATCAATCAATGCAACTTGAAAACTAATATTTTTCAATATATTGTCTTCTCGCACTAAAACTGTATAATCTCAAAACTTACTAATTTTACAGGAGAGTGTTTTAAAGGTTTAACATGTGATATTTTTAATATTAATCATCTTTGTATCATTAATTTTTTATTTTGTACCAGTTACATTATCTGTCTTTTAAAGTAATATAAAATTATCTATGTAATTTGACTAACAAGTCAAAATATAGGTAAACTAAAAATAAAAATAAAATAAAACTAAACTAGCTCTTTTGACAGTATTTATTAGAGAAATACTGGTGATACCAAATAATTCTGCATATTAATCCAATTTCGAATATTTTTGGAAATTGTTCACTTTTAATGCGAAAAGACTATATGTTTGTTGATTTTTTGTACTTTTGGTTTCCCTAATAAACAAATAAACTTCAAATTAGTAATGATCAATATAACAGGTAGGTACCGGGCCACATGAATTGCAGCATTTCTTCTATGTCATGAAATAAAGGAGTCAAGCCTTCAACTTGCTGCCTAGATAATCGGATCTGTTGCAGTAATTGTTCTACCTGATCGTCAAAGTCACCCTCTAAGCATAGCTCCAAAGCATCTGGCAAACAATCTGAAAAGATTTTCGACTTTGTATGTTAGAATTAAAAATGGGCATAAAAGTGTTAGTTACTGTTTTAAGTGAAATTAAAGAAACCATAAAAAAATAAAAAATAAATTTGAAGAGAAGAAGAGGCATCAGAGAAAATTAAATCACACAATGTACATAGCAATCAGAAATACAATTGGTTTTGTTTACATTATATTTTTTATACTAAATAGAAAATAGACAGAGTACAAAAATAACTTTAACATTCTTTTTAAAAAGTTACCAACATTAAATAAGATTTCGGTAGAGACTACTGCCGCTATTAATTATGAGATGTAAAATACATATATTTCAACTAAACCTACGTAGACTTAGGAAAATAATATTTATTTATTTTCAGGAGTTAAATATAGTTTTGAGGGAATAGGATCATAGCTAAAAATAAGTAAACTTCTAAATAAGTATGTAGTTTGTTATGGTGATTATTGTTATCACCGTGCGTAACTTGAAGTTATAATCGAATACGGAGGGAGTAACTTTTGAGGACCTTGAATTTTACTTGACTTCGGTATTGTTCAAACATATGCTTCAAAACTTGTAACAGAAAAGGTTAAATTTTTTTATTATAATATTAGTATTACTTGCAATAAATAAATAAAACATTCATAACGTTTTAGCTAATACTAATATACAACAGTATCAATCATTAAGCACACCTGGGTCCATCGTAATACGAATTTTTTTAACAAAATCAAATCGAAACTAGTCCATATTCCCAAACAAAAATATGTTTTGACCTTTTTTGCAACCTTTAGCAACACCTTTTTTGCTTTGACCTTTTTTTTTGGCAAAAGGAACAGGATCCACACTTAGCATTTTGTATAGTGACACGTATCTTTCAAGGGCAAACCTAATTGAAATAACGTCATTGAAATTTTGGCTAGAGCTTAAAAAGTTTGTCCAGAGATATATTCAACATTTAAACTATAATCAAAGAATTTTGATTAAGAAAATATCTCAAATCCACGTTTTTAATCGCCGATTCTTCGAATAACCAATCTCAAATGGTCATGTCTAATCTCTATTCTAATAATTGAACGTTTAAAATATTAACATTGGAGAATTGCATAGCCTTATGTACGAAAACTGATCCATAATTCGAGGCTAGCATAGACTAAAATAAGGCTTACCGCGAAATATCAATCATTTATAGAGCTGTTTGCGTTCAAAGTGCACAGACATGAGACGTGAGCCTATTACAAGTATGGAAAGTTGTAATCTAACGTTCTTAGCAGCGCTATGGCACGTCACGGGTCTAGGCAACGAGCGTGTTCTAATATGGAAATTAGCGATCCGATTCGCGATTAGCAGGATCAGATTTTAGGTAAAGAGTATAATTAGACATCTATTTATTTAACTGGAAATTTTGACGGGACTTTCACGAGACTGGCAAGGCAAACAATAGATCTTTCAACAATAGAAACTATTTTTTTAAGTTTTAAATACAACATATGAAACGCATCGTTCCTGTAGAGTAGTTGGAAGTCGTCGCGGTCTAAAGAAGAAGACGCCTGGTGCTTTCACAACAAGCAGTGCGACTGAGCGACTGCACCGTTTCGATAAAGCGGCACGACACGAGAACCCTCTCATCGTGGCTGCTGGTAACTACATTGCCGATCATGCGGACCAACTGGTAAACAGTCGACGTCGCCCAAAACACGTCATCTCGGATCCTCCCGATCCACTAACGGTGCTTTTAGGTACCTCAAACACTGGTCATCGTTCTCGTCGAACCCGTCGCGACGAAGAGCTCGGCGAGTAAATTAACCCATAGACAAAGCCCACTGAGTTTCTCGTTGGATCTTCTCAGTGGGTCGCGTTTCGGATCTGGTGGTAGATTCTGCAAAGCACAGCTCTTGCTGGGTTCATGTTGGCAACATCGTCCGGTTTGAGCCCCGTGAGCTCACCTACTAGCCCGGTAACGCTGATATGGTCTCTCTAGAACATCAGCCTATGCAGGGGAAAAAAAGAAAAAGTACGACTGCGCTGCTCGTATATTCAAGGCTCCGATAGCCACTTAAGATCAAGAGTGAGCTCGTCATGAACGTCATGGAGCGACTAACAGCCTGGCCACGGGACATTCGTCGATGCGAATATTCGCGCGGTGCGAACGGCGAAGCGTCTAGCGACTAAAACAAGCGCATAGAAATGTACCTAACAAGCCACGCGCACCGGCGACCGGCGAAGCGACCGGCGAAATGTACCGAGCGAATCGCGCGATGCGGCGGGCGAGCAAAACAAATGCATGAATACGGACGGCGCGAGCCACGGAGTCGAGCGGTAGTCGCGGCGAATAGTGCAGTGATTAAATGAGTTTAGTTGTTTTCGCCGCGAAAAATTAACGCCGAAATTTTTATATTTTTTATTTATTTTTTATTTTATATTTTTAAAGTCGTCGTGGCCTAACGGACGTCCGGTGCAATCGTGTTGAGCGATGCACCGGTGTTCGAATATCAGGCGGGTACCAATTTTTGTAATGAAATACGTACTCAACAACACTCAACGTTCACGATTGATTTCCACGGTGAAGGAATAACATCGTGTGATAAAAATGAAATCTTCAAAATAATAATTTGCGTAATTACTGGTGGTAGGACCTCTTGTGAGTCTACACGGGTGGGTACTACCACCCTGCCTATTTCTGCCGTGAAGTAGTAATGCGTTTCGGTTTGAAGGGTGAGGCAGCCATTATAACTATACTTGAGACCTTAGAACTTATATCTCAAGGTGGGTGGCGCATTTACGTTGTGGATGTCTATGGGCTCCAGTAACCACTTAACACAAGGTGGGCTGTGAGCTCGTCCACCCATCTAAGCAATAAAAAAATAAAATAGCTGAAATACTAGCTAGACCAGCTATTTGGAAGTCTAGCCACCCAAAGTATTTCTCGTACTTCTTGTGGAATTCTCCATCTATAGGTATACTCCGATTCTTATTCAAATCATGTACTTCACAATCTTTTCCAAATAATAGGTCCTGAACCAAAAAACTATTAATTTGTAAGCAATATCGAGATAATTTCGATATAGACATTTCGCTGTCGGACTTCCTTACTAATCGCGGCGGCGAACGTGAGTACCCGTGGCCTGCAAACGGTGCTGCGCGAATGGTCGCCTCGCCCACCGCTTCGCTGTTCGCACCGCCGATCCCCGTGGCCAGGCCGTAAGTAAAAAAAAGTTATATAAAAACGTTTTTATTTTTTGTCTTTTTTAACGAGACTTCGTCGGACATCCAGTTGAGAATCAAATTAGTCTCTTAACAGGGAATAAAAATAAAACACCATTAATTTGTTTTTGTAACTCAAATTCTACAAACAGCGTAAAAATAAAAAAATAAAAAAATCGTAAAACGTCTTAGCTTAAAATAATATATAAATTAGTTCACTAGAACTAAAAAAATATGAGAAAAATTGTACTATATGTAAATTATTATAAACTAAGAAGTCGCGTCATAAGTACTTTAATTTTCATGATTTTAAAATGCACGATTCGTTAGATTAATGCGTAGTACATTCTTCGCTGAGGTTGCCGGCTTCTTTAGTGGCCATTTTGTCCGTCACTATAATGTCATTCTCGTTACATTCCTCAGCTTGGTTTTGCGGCAAATTTTCCACGTCACTGTCAGACGTATCCGGCTCCTCGGCGTTCTTGTCTATCATTTTTATCGTGTCCGCTACGTTTTCATTTATGGGCGTGGAATAGGGTTTCACTAGTTCTAGGAACCACTGCTGCATGCTCGAAATGAAAAACTTTCCAAATTCTCTAAAGTTCTCTATTTGTCCGGGCGAAGCGTTCCGCAGCGAGATGACGGCGCTGGTGGGATTGTCAGAAAATGTTAGAATCAAGTAGAAGTTCATTTCGATAGCCTGCTTCTCGACCAGCATGATCTCCTCTGTTATCTTCTTCTGTTGGCTCTCGAAGTCCAGGTTGGTGGCGCTGTATAATCTGGTGAATTTTTTTCGCTTCCATATTGCCTTCGTCACTTGTCCGGAGTACTTTTCCTTCTGTTTTTTACTGTCCGGCTTCATTGTTTCCTCACACTTCCCTAATGTAATCTTCAGCAGTTTCTCGAATATCCTAAACACTATTTCTCTGACTACGGATTTCCAATCCGGATCCACTATCGCCGCAATAATCCTGCGGAATATGTTCACTCGGTACTCTTGATGGGTTTTAGGACGCAGCAGATTGGGTGCTTGGAGCAGTATGATCTTTAGGAACTCCAAATTACGATTCAACTTTTCCTTTTCGTAAGCGTTCGCCGCGTGCTTGAAGTAAGCTTTGATGTCGGAGGCGAGCCTGGAGGTGATGGCGGACGCTAAGTTGTGCGACTGCTCGAAGGGGTCCTGCACGCAGATGGCGGAGCCGTGGCGCATGGGCAGCACCATATTCTCCAACACATTCATCTTGTACCGATCAAACTCTTTGGGCAGCAAAAANCGATTCAACTTTTCCTTTTCGTAAGCGTTCGCCGCGTGCTTGAAGTAAGCTTTGATGTCGGAGGCGAGCCTGGAGGTGATGGCGGACGCTAAGTTGTGCGACTGCTCGAAGGGGTCCTGCACGCAGATGGCGGAGCCGTGGCGCATGGGCAGCACCATATTCTCCAACACATTCATCTTGTACCGATCAAACTCTTTGGGCAGCAAAAATGTGTCTCTAAATAACGCTTTTTTTATCGGCGCACCTAAGTATGGACACACGACCATCTCGTCAAAGTTGAACGAGGAATAATACTCGAAGAAGCCTCCTAGGAGCTCCGATATGGAGGAAGTGTTGGAGGAGGGTGGCAGCAGCTGTCTCTGGCCCATGAAGCCCACGTTCCAGGAGTCTACGAGGAAGTGTGTGGAAGCGTCACTCTGCAGCCACGCCACCGCCGGCAGGATCGAGATGGGCGGCTGCTGCAGATAAAATATGATCATCATCGTCAGAGCGTAGTTCGTCAGTTTCCCGGTTCCAGAGAAGTCGTGCACTTTAGCCCAGTACTTGATGACCACGGCCATCGGGATGAGCCTGGGGTCCGCGTGCAGGAGGAACGCGATCAGCTTGCTGTTGTGTGCTCCCAGCGGAGTCTTGAAGGTCAGATCGCAGTTGGTTTCGGTGGGGATGTGGAAGAACTTGACGATGGGGGTGTTGGCCCGAGGTATGCACAGTATCTCAGAGAACGTTCCCGGATAGTGCTGAAGGATCTTCTTGGCCTTGACGACGAAGTTGGCCTGGGGGTGTCTGAAGGGCGGCGGCACATCCACGAAACAGTCTGCGTCGCTCGTTTTAACTCCCAGCCCCGTGGTTATAGAACCAAAGGGCACTGTTTTGCAACCTACGGAAAAAAATCATATGGCTTCATAACTCCATTCAACTTTTATCATTAATTATTTAAATAATACTTCAGTAATTACAAAGAGCATCTCTATACAGGGTGTAATAAAAATATGTCAAAATTTTGTGGTATCTTCTAGCCGTAAAGATCTTCATACTACTGTCCAAAGGAGCCGTAGCGTCCTATGAGACTCTGCCGCTGGCCGGGGAGCGAGCCGGTCGTGCCGCGGCGGGGGCTCCGACTCCGGCCGCCAGACCTTCAGAGGTAATATCCAACAGGGACATAGAGTAAGGCACCCTACAAACGTGGCTTTATTTCCTTCTAGATATGATTATTACACTGTATAGTTGAGTTAATGGTATTAATTATTATTTTCATTGAATTTCAGAATCAGATGTTCCATACAGACATTCTATTAATTCACTTTGCTTCACGTGAAGCAGTAATGCGTTTCTGTTTACTGAGACCTTAGAACTCATATTTCAAGGTGGGTGGCGGCATTTACGTTGTAGATATCTATGGGCTCCAGTACCTACTTAACCCCAGGCGGGCTGTGGGATCGTTCACCCATCTAAGCAATATTTTTTTTTAACCTACCTATTCTAGTGAGTTCGGGGGTCATACTAGATCCATCGAATCTGAGCTCACGGGGCTCTAATCTGGCGACGTTGCTAACACTGGCCCTAGCAAGAGCAGTGTTTTGCAGATTCTACCACCAGATCGGAAACGCGACCCACTGAGAAGATCCGGCGAGAAACTCAGTGGGCTGTGTCTATGGGTTAATTTGCTCGTCGAGCCCTTCGTCGCAAGCGACGGGTTCGGCGAGGACGGTGATCTAACCTAATAGCCTAACCTAGGTACCTAATAGCACCGTTAATGGATCGGGAGGATCCATAATGACGTATTTAGGGCGACGGTGACTGTTTCCCATTTGGTCCACCGGATCGAGTCTGTGATACAAAGTATGATAAGCACATCAACACAAACCAGGCCATATTGACTGCAGAGCGTATTCAACGTCTGTATAGAGTTGAGTGAGGGCGGTCACGTCCTCTTGGGTCAGTCTCACAGCAGCCAGAATGTTGTCGAGTTGAGAGTGAAAATCACCAGACATGTCAATCTTCTTCGGATCTATGGTTATGGCTGAAAAGACAATAAATTAAATTCGATTAATAATGTATAAATATATTAGCAACGTTCCGTAATTACCGAATTTCACAAATCTGATGATTTGAAAGTAGAGGGCTCAGTCAGTGGGCTAGAGGCCAAATTTGTAACATCTGATAAAAACGACTTTTACAGTTGCTAGGTGGACGAGCTCACAGCCCACCCGGTGTTAAGTGGTTACTGGAGCCCATAGACATCCACAGCGTAAATGCGCCACCCACCTTGAGATACAAGTTCTAAGGTCTCAAGTATAGTTACAACGGCTGTCCCACCCTCCAAACCGAAACGCATTACTGCTTTACGGCAGAAATAAGCGGGGTGGTGGTACCCACCCGCGCGAACTCACAAGAGGTCCTACCACCAGTAAAGTTATTGTCATTATAATATTTCCGACGTTTACAATACTGTACAATTCTCGTGGTCACCGACCCATTGGCATTCACATCTATTGTTTTAAATTTGATATCTGAATCAGACATTTGAGTTGATCCAACTTGGACACTTTTATATTACGAGTGCTTGAAAATCGGCGTGTGAATACGACCCTATATACTGCTTTATAAATCAAAATTCAATTGAGACTTTAAAATTGGCAGCAACATTTACATTGCAGCAGTACCTTTGGGATGGTGTTACTGCTTAAAACAGATGATTACATTTATCTCCTCTCCCTAGCTACCACCGAAAATCTAGATACTGGTTTTATTTATTTTACTGGTGGTACTACATAGTTATGAGCAGTAAGCCTATTTCTACCGCAAAGCAGTCATTCATTCCAATTGAAAGGCTGAGATAGCTGTTGTACAAAATAATTGAGACTTCAACTACATGCCTATATGTGGGTGGTAATCGCTTTACAGAAGGTGGGCCGTAAACTATGACATGTTCTTCTTCAAACGAGGCTTGCGGAGAGTACTTTATGGTAGGCAGCGGCTTGGCTCTGCCCCTGGCATTGCTGACGTCCATGAGCGACGGTGCCCACTTACCATCAGGTGGGCCGTATGCTCGTCTGCATACAAAGGCAATAAAAAGATAAAATAAAAAAAAGTCGTTCAAAACTCTAAGCATTAACAATTATAATTATAATAACTCACATTTCTCTTTGGTCCTTGCAAATTCTCTCTTGGGACTGTGTTTGGGTTCCTCACAAGGCCGTCCGTAGTACAATTTGATTGTTAGAAACTCTCCGTAGATGTTCAGTTCATTGTTACATTTGACGGCCTCCGCAGCTTCCTCTTCTGATGAGAATGTGATCGTAGAGAATCTTGGGTTCAGCTTATTGATTTGGACTGATCCAAATACATTGAAAGTTCTTATTAAGTCCACGGGCTGGACATATGGAGGAAAACCTGAAATTTTAAGAATATTTGGTTTTCAAAATTCAAAGAAATAAAATTATATCTTGGCATGTTGACGAACGGTAATATCAACAGGTCAAGTTCAAACCTGTGAACAAACAAAAATACGATAAGTTTTTCTGGTGACCTTATTACTACGGTGTATTAAGATAAGATACGGGTAATGCAATAAATTAATAACATTAAATAATCTGGAACAAGTCATATATGATCATTTGGCCCCAACCTAAGATTCCTTGTGCTATGGGAACCAGAGACTCATACACATACATGTATATAGATTTACAATAGTAAATATATTAAAACACCAAGACAGTGTAAAAAACCTGCTTGCCTCACGAATATTATGCCCTTAGCTGGAATAGAATTTAAGACCCTCGATCAAAGGTTCTAATTGATGTGCTGTCCAGTTTTGCTACCGAGAAGTGATGACGTTTAGTTTGAAAAGTAAATCGGTCATTATTAAATNCATACACATACATGTATATAGATTTACAATAGTAAATATATTAAAACACCAAGACAGTGTAAAAAACCTGCTTGCCTCACGAATATTATGCCCTTAGCTGGAATAGAATTTAAGACCCTCGATCAAAGGTTCTAATTGATGTGCTGTCCAGTTTTGCTACCGAGAAGTGATGACGTTTAGTTTGAAAAGTAAATCGGTCATTATTAAATTTTATTGACAAATCATTTTCACACCTCAAGGCGGGCTGTGGCATTCTCAGTGTCTATGAGGTTCGTTAAACGCTATAGTAAACATATCTTTTGTCTTATTATTAAAGGGTTATCTTTATATATATATTTCTTCTGTGCATGTTTGTCACTGAACTCCTAAATGACTGGACCGATTTTAATGAATTTTTCTGTGTACCTTCAGGTGGATTCGAGAATGCTTTAGATTTATAAATCAGCCCAGCAGATGGCGCTGCAGTCGGTATCTAGGTTATTTATCTTTTCTAGAACTAATTTACATGGCAAAACGTTTGCCAGGCCAGCTAGTATTTATATAATATCTTTCCAATAAACTATAGCATTTGTTATACTGTATACCGCACCTGTCACAATAATCATTTTGGTTGCCTTCTCTTTAGTTGTGCTCTGTGTGTCGGGTTTTGGTTGCGAAGTTGTAGGCGCTGGGGACGCGCCGTTCTTTCTTCGGGGCGCAGGTTGCGGGGCTGGCTGCCGGGGGGCGGGCTTCGGCGGGGCTTGTTTCGGTGTACATTGCGGGGTAGCTTTCGAAGACTGCTTCGATGCGGGTTGTGGCGCAGCCTTGGAAGGTTGCTTCGGTGCAGGTTGTGGTGAAACTTCTGACGGTTGTTTCGTTACATCTTGTGGTGCAGTTTTCGAAGCGGATTTTGGTGCGATCTGTGCCGATTGTGGTGTGGGTGGTGTGGGTTGTGGGGGGGCGGCGGTCGTGGGGGTTTCATCCGCCGGCGTTGTTACCTTTGTCTCCATGGTTCATGGATAGAGGTGAAGTCCTGAAAATAATAAAAGCAAATCATCAATCATCAAACATCAAACACGATAAACGCGAAATTTAAATAAAATCTTTTCCCTTTTTACTACATATATTAAACTTGAATGAGCTTTGGTAATTAATAGTTTTGATATATTTTCCAACAACATCATGTTAACCCACTGCTGGCCATTTCAATTCTATTTCCCGCCAAAATCAAAAGTCAAGTTCCAAATATTCGACGTAATTTTTTAAATTACAAGCAGCCCGCTCCGGCTCCTCTCGGGTTTTTAACAAAACGATATTTGACGTTGTTTTATTTTTTTAAATATAAGAAAACTTATTGCAGCATAACTATATTAGTTAGAGACATATGCTGTCGCGACACTTTTTGTAAATAATAATTTATTCTACAAAGTCGTAGTACATTATTTTATTCTATCATCAATCGTTTTCACAGGGCACACGATGTAAATATTTTAGGTAATTTTTTTACACCTTAGGTTACATTATTGGAGTTTTAGTAAAGATCCCAAATTTTTTTCGAAAAGGATTGTAGTTTATGTTACTCGGGAATATTGTAGCTTTTAAACAGTGAAAGAATTTTTCAAATCGGTTCAGTAGTTTCGGAGCCTATTCAATACAAACAAACAAACAAATCTTTCCTCTTTATAATATTATAGAGTATAGATAATAATGTATTATTTGTTCTAAATATTACCTGTAGCTACTTTAATGACTTTACTAAAATACTTGGGCTCCAAGAGTCCCTTCTCGTTTCCTTGTGTCAGAACAACTCCATTTTCAGACTCGTAGAATTTCAAACCATCATTTAATGCTCTATTTAGATCAATGTAGATGTGTATTTCGGCGTCCCTTCTCAATCCGCTTATGATACTCTTGTCTAAGTCACCTTTCGCGAAATGTATATGTTGCCTTTTCATGCGACTCAGACCTTGCAACTTAATTTGCGGCCAGAACTTCAAATATGTACCATGGATAACGGTTTTGTAAATTGGCTGAAAGAAATGCAATTATAACTTACAGTTCTGTGAATTTTTTAAAGCTAAAGCAAAGAAAAATATTTCCAATTGCAATCAATATTAGTTCAAAGTTGAACAGGTTTAAGTTCATTGTAAGGGTTTAGTGATATCATTAAGAAGACTGATAGTCTTTAACCTTTTTATAGCCATAGAAAAGTTAAAGACTATCAGTCTTCTTAGTCGCAGCGACCACACATACATACATATGTGAGCCTTTCTATGAAGATCGGTCAGCCGCGAGGTAGACAGCCTATTAGATGCTGTCTCCGACTGTCTTTTTATAGTATCCAACAATCTTGTTGCCGTCCTGCCTTTGGCACGTTGCTCCTCCATTTGAGCAAGAATGAAAAGCTTTTCCAGACTATGCTCTTTACTGGACTTCACTCTTCACTAATGTAGATACGTGGCGTGTTAGAACTTATTCCGCACAAGTACAATGTTAAAGAAAGCTGAATATAAGCTAAGAAAGCAACATATTTGGCGAATAAATAACAACCTCATCTATGATCTTTGCATAAAGTAAATACAAAGTAATTTACATCTTTTTTTAGGTACCTTGGTAATTAATTTTAATTCAATATTAGATAGTTGTATACTGTGTCCCTGATTCGCTTTGATTTCTAATGCCTTTGTTTCAGTGTGAAATCTCAGTTTGAATCGTTGCTTCTCGTTTGTTGCAACAACTCGTTCAACATCGGCAACGCTAAATTTACATCGCGATTTGTGCTGTAATAGCTCATCGACGCTTATGTAACCTTCCGCACTAAAATTTATGAAAAATGTTAAACAAAATAATATGTCAAAGGATGAAAGACAACATTTTTGCAACTGTACATGATTTTTACGGGAACAAATTTAAAATTTGGAATCAGCACAGAATGGTTGGTGGCATTCTTAGAGTACTAGAAACCAGCATACAGTGAGCTGACACAGGTGCTCAGAGCTTAGGGTGCCACGTAACAAAGTATTCTGACCTACATGTAGTGACCAGTTTTCTGTGATTTCTGAGTATTGATGGACTTTTTTTATTGCTTACATGAGTTGCCGAGATCAAAACCCACCTGGTGTGAAGTGATTACCGATGCCCATAGGCATCAATAACATAAATGCTGCCACCAAAAACGAATTTCAATTAACTTTTTGTCAGGAATTTCTGAAATAGATATTTCAGAGTGTTGAACTTTTTGATGGCAACACCAGAAACCACAAACCTTTGTAAGCATTTAAAAAAATGCACCACTTCATTCCCCAAGCCTTCTGTATGTTATCTGGTCATTAATTGGCTTTATTTAAGCTATTTTCCTTGAGATATACATATGAGACCAAGTATAATATATATTCTTGGTCATCATTCAATAATTAACATTAAGAGGTAAACAACTTAACTCTTTACTTATTTATGTCTACAGCTCGCAAAAATGACGAGAATACAAATTCAGGGGATTCCCCTATATTTATGTATTGTTGTGTTGCCAAATATTTTAAATTATAGTAATTCTATTAAATTCTGGAATGGTTAGTGCTAGTGTTAATGCATATTTTGAGAATAGGTATTAACTGTGGTCTTATTTTTATTTACAACAGTATTTTTGAGCACAAGCACTAGGTGCTAGTTACAAGGCATTAGCCATAGCATTAGCCGCTTCCAGAGACATGACTAACAAAATTTTAAATTAACTGTATTTAAATGAGATATTTCACCACTAATATGCAATTTAGTATTGGTTGCACAAGTTGTCAGATATTTTATTTAAATGGTCAGATATGTTGAATCAATGTTCAATTTTCAAAGATGCATGGTTAACATGTAACAACAATGTTTGAGGATTTACAATGGAATGAAAGATGCTCATAATTTTATTATTCAGTAAGATAAATAAATAGTAAATCCAGTAGATAAATGTTGACTATTTTACAATTGGATTTCAATTAGATTACCTTATTTGCAGTCCTTCTTTCACAGCACTGTGCCTCAGAAGCCAAGATAAAGATTTGCTTAGCTGTACGTCTTTTTTGCACCTGTAAATTAAGACTCATAAACAGCTAAGCGATATTGAACACGCTGTAATTAAATTCCAAAAATATGTAACTGATGGTATCCAACTTTTTACAAAAAAAGTGTTTGGTTTGATAGTAATGTATTATTGTAAACGTAAGAAACACACTTGGACATTTATTTTGCTAAATAGATGAATATGCCAAAATTAAATCAGAAACAATTAACAAAGGATGCAGCCGGTTGCCTTGGTGAAATTGAATCGTAGATAATACTAGGGATGAAAACTATCTAACTTATCGTTCATAAGAATCGATGTTTTAACATCGATGTGGAGACTAAAAAATCGGCGATACATCGTTGTTCATGAATAATGTTTTGTGATTTTTGTGAACGATTTTTTACGCCATCTTGTGTTCTATCCCTGATCTACACAAATTTCCTGTCTCAGCCACAAGCATACATTTTTCAATTTTTAATTTACACATTTTATAGAATGATTCATGGAGCTAATTCAAATTATTGGTGCGATATTATTGCATCACCCAGACGCACCTCCAATGATCACATCAAGTGAAATAGGCTGCGAAATCATTCAACTTTTGCATCCGTTCAAAAGATTAACCGAAGACATTTGTGCACAACATTTTATTACAAAATTACAATTTGAAATCACAAAAAGATTTCATAAGTTAGAGCACTATTCATCGTTGGATATTGCAACCGCCTTGGATTCTCGTTTCGAGGTAATATAAAGATGCCACTGCGATAGCTAAAGTCACAAACTGCATAAATAATTACGTAGCCAGTAATCCAAAGAATGTAGCTGGAGAAGAAAAGTCTTCTGATGAATGTGAAAAAGGTGCCATATGGAGCTACCATAAACCATTGACGCACTACAACATAATAAAATCAAACTAAAGATAAAACTAAAGCAGATACAGAATTTAAAATGCTTTTTTTTTATCTACCTAAGCTGGTGATCTTAAGGGACCATTTCACCATGTCCTTAACAAGTAGGTGAGCTCACGGGGCTCAAACCAACGACGTTGCTAACACTAACCCTAGCCAGAGCAGTGCTTCGCAGAATCTACCACCGGATCGGAAACGCGACCCAGTGAGTAGATCCGGCGAGAAACTCAGTGGGCTGTGTCTGTGGGTTACTTTACTCGCCAAGCCCTTCGTTGCAAATGACGGGTTCGACAAGGACGATGACTGGTGCTTGGGGTACCTAAAAGCACCGTTAGGGGATCGGGAGGATCGCCACGTCGACTGTTTACCACCGACCGGTCGCCACGATGAGAGGGTGCTCGTGTCATGCCGCTTTCTCGAAATGGCGCACTGTTGCCGACTGTAGATACTTACTGATGGACCCTATGTTCATGTCGTCGTGGAAGTCCACATTTCTAACATACCACGGAGCTCCGGCGGCAATCCTGCAAAAACGGAATTGTAGTATTTGGAGGGGTTTCAAGTTTGTGCGGGCCGCGTGAGCGAACACTACATTTGCATAGGTCACGACCGGATATAGTTTATGCTTATGTTTATGCATACAAATTTTGTAGAGTACCACCTTGCTAAGGGACATTTTACTTCACTTGCAAATCATCGGATAGAATAGTGTAAAAGGGATATTTCTGGGCTTTATAGCCTAGCTATGACCTACATACCTATTGTGGCAACATCAGTACCTAGTGAGTGGTTGTTCTCAGGAGCTGGAGCTACAATCACGCAGGAGAGAAACCGCTTATTAGGTACCAGAATATCAAAACTGTTATTTTTTAATTCAATTTTGAAGAATGAATGGTCATTGATAATAATGCTCATTAATTAATTACAATTTCAATTAAAAATAACTGTCAGAGCTTAATGAATGTGGAATTATACATGTTATTTTCTATTTTACTATATTTAACATAATTGTTTCTTATTGTTTAACTGTCTATAAAAATTTTTAATATAAAATTTGATTACACTGGTCTATAAATTTTAACTTCTATTTTTGTATTTGAATGCTGATCTTGGGATATTTTGGTGCGTAGATTACAAATATGTCCTTTTATTTTTCTTATCACCCTCAGTTTGTTTGAGAAATCTCTTGGAGTTAATTTCAAAACAAGTTACAGTTTAGATTAGTTCAGTTTAAAAATATTGAAATATCACTCATAAAGATCGATGCTTTTCATATCGATTTTTCACTTTTAAAAGCATCGTTATCCTAGCATTGATGTTTTTTATTAGCGATGTACATCCCTAGATAATACACTATATTTTTTTTACCACAGATTAGTATTTAGTTAAAAAGACAGCTTATAACACAGATATGGATGATTCGTCCATTGAATGAGCAAAGGGAATGTAAGGCAATCTTTTGTGAAATCGACGATTGGGAATTTTAGTTTATTGTGGTGAGATATAGGATCTCTCAGTTAGACTGTATGTGAACTCAGTCAAGAAACTAGTGTATTAAATACTAATTGAGTAGAACTGTGACAGTGAGAAAAACAACTAAATTATTATTATATATTTATTGCCCTTGTACGCAGACGAGCATACGGCCCACCTGATGGTGAGTGATTTCCGTCACCCATGGACTTCAGCAAAGCCAGGGACAGAGCCACTTTCAAGCCACTGCCAACCGTGTTAATAGAATTATCCTAATTTTTCCTCAAATGTCCAAATTGTAATTTGAACATTTTTGCTAAAGAGTATTGTAATGCCACGGTAAGTATGACTAAAGCGACTTTTTGACAGAACCGCACGGGGTGTATATGTCTGAATAATAACCATTACAATAGATCTTGAACTGTTTAGTAGCT